GGTGTATTGATGTGGGAAATTTCTAGCGGAATTCCTCCATTTAAAAATTTTACTAGTAAATGTGATCAGGATTTACTTTATTTTAATATCCCTAAAGGATACCGTGAAAATACTATAGAAGGCACGCCTGAAGATTATAAGGAACTTTATGAAAAATGTTGGAATTCTATACCCGAAAAAAGACCGAGTATTAAAAAAGTATTAGAAGAATTTAAAAAAAATGGGTTTTGGAATCGATGATAAAGATGAAGATAATTCAACTTATGAGTATTCGACTCCTATAGAAACCGAAATAAATATTAAAAATATTTCGGCTGAAGGTATTGTAATAACAAATTTAATATATTATTGTTTTAAATATACTAATTGCTTTAATCATTATGATGTTTTAATAGAACAAACCAATGAATTAAATCAACTTTTAGATACGCATGATGATTTAATTAGTAAGTTATTTAAAATACCTTTAGGCGTTTAAAGAAAACAGCATATACTAATATTATTTATATTTAGTTCCATAATATATGGTTTAAGCAGTAATTGGATATCAATATTAATTTATATAGATTACATCATTTTTATTTTTATTTTTATATTATATTTTATCATTTTATACTACTTGGATTTGTTAAAAAAAGATGATATTATTCGCTTCATGTAGCATCATATCATTGTTAAATAAATCTCAGTTTAAATCTTATCGTTATTAAATTTATCAGAAAATTTAAAAATTAATTTTGGGAAATATTGCTTTCATTATTAACTTAATAAGAAAAAATATTTGAAGTTTCACTTCTTCGACATAATACTTAATAGATATTCGGCACGAAGTGCCGAATAACTATTATATTGGGAAAATCAAATTTGATTCCCAATATTATTAGTTTCTTTATAGGTAGCGGTAGTTATTCGGCTCGAAGTGCCGGATAAGTTATTTATCCGGTGTCCCGTGATTAAGCTATTGTTTACTATTTACTATTTTTATATCACATATAATAGCGCCCTTATTTGTTTTTCCTTTAGGATGTTTAAAGGTTTCTGATAAGTTTATGCCGTTCTATATCATTCATGACGTGACACAGTAATTCATGCATCGATTAATATCAAAATCAAATTATTGTCCAATTCATAATGACGATCAGTTAGATTTAGCCTAACGTGGCTAAATCTGACCGATCATCATTAGCAAGCACAATAACGATTATCGTGTGTTTTTTATGATGTTAAGTTCATTTCATTCTCTTTCTCGTCAATTATACTAAATTTTTGAAAAATGAAAGAACCATTTTAAGAAAGGCAAATTTGTTTACAAAATTTTTATTTTTAGGCGAATTATACTGGAAAGAAATCTAAACAAACTTCTTGATACATAATAAAAGACGAATTGCAACATTTATATGCTAAAAAACTATATTCAAAATATGGAAATTTTTAATGATAATGCATCTTTGAAAATATTTTGATTTTTTATTATCCTTAATATTGAAAAATATAGATGAAAGTTCTTTTTCAACCACTATAAATACTAAATGATATTCTAAAATTACAGTTGATAAAAATTTAATTATTTCAGTAGGTGTCCTATTCTGCATAATTGAATAAATTATCTACTTGTTAGAAAAAATTTTTTTGGGATATTTATTAATTATCTCCCTTGAAAACAATGATCATTTAAAATCTAAACTAAAATTAGGCGATGGGATTTTTTGAAATTTTTACAGTTAGTACAATGTTCCATATTTACTATTTTACACTTAATTATTTTATTATGTTTGAAGACTGAAATAAGATACTTGATATTAATAAAAGTATAAAAACAAGCATTATTTATAGTTTATTTATTAGTGTAGCTAATTTTCATATAAACTCCGTGATATCAAAAAATATTAAAAAACAAGATCGTCTACATCATATGGGTGAGCACGATAATAAAAATTAACGAACTAATGATTGATGGAATATAGTTACTGTAATTGTTATCAAATTAAAAAAAAATGTTATTTTATAACTTAAAATTCACTTATATTTATCAATAATTTATACTATTATTTTACTAACTCTTTTTTTTAATCTATTATATATTTCATATTACTACCAGACAGTACATAGCGATTTTGAATTGATACATTGAGAACTGCCTATTATTCAAGAACAATAGTAATAGTTGCAGAAGTGCTTAATAAATCATACTTTTCGCGAAAACATTAACCGCAAGAAAAATGTGAAAATTTTATTCCAGAAGTATATTTCGTATCATTTATATGAACAAACATTGGTTATGCCAAAAATAGAAAACCATATCACTCTTATCTCATATGAAAAAAAATTTTTTATTAGCATTTAAACAATCGATATTTTAAGAGAAAGTGCATTTTCAAATTATTTTACAAATAATTGTTGGAATTTTCATAGGACCAATTCAAAATTTCTGATAAATTTAGATTATTTTAATTTTGACGAAAATCCTAATTTATGGTAATGCAAAATCTGGAAAATTATAGCTGATAAAGCAAATGATTTTAAATTTATTAGATCATCACTGAAAAAAGAGTTCATAATATAATTTAATCTAATTTTATGGAATATACACTTAAAACTCCTTTTTGATAAAATATGACATTAATTACCTTTTGGTTTTAAAAAAAAAAAAATGTAACGCGACAAAATTAAAAAGATCTGTATCAATATTACAATTAGCGATTCAATTTTATTAAATTATAATTTCGCCAGATTTATAAAAAATCCGGATGGTACTTTGAACCCGGACCTGAACATCATTCAGAAATGGTTTCGTCCGTGTACTACCTAATCAAATCAAGAATCCAAGAAAGTAATGTTTAAGTACATTTAGGGACGACTGAATTTAACAGATTTATTAGTCACTTCGAATTTGATTGGCTCTTCACCGAACAAGTATGTATTAAGACAATATGTAGGTCTACGTGTGGTATTTCATAAGATGATGTCAGTGAAAATGTTTTATCCATTTAATTTAGTGAAATCAATGTGATATTCATTCTTATTCATTTTCATTATGAATGTTCAAACATATGGAATTATCTAGGAACTTAGGTGACATTAATGAAAGTGCGACGAATTTCCTATTTCGTATCCAGATCTGATAAATATTAAACCATGCTGCAATCCAATCTTTTCAAAAATGAACGTTGCGTTCGTATATTATTATTAGTTACGTTTCGAGCAATTAATGCGAGAAAAAGGTTTTAAATAAGATGTGATTTGGAATGGGATGGATTATATAGTATGAGATAAGTGCAAGCAACTGTGAAGAGACAATGACGGGTCATATACTTGTAATACAGTAGAACCTTTTCACATGTTATTATTTAAAATTAGATGATCACGACACGATCAAATTTGTCATTGTTACTGAAGTAAGTGATATGAGCGACATCGTAAGAATTTTTATTTTTTTGTTTTATTTACTGACAAGTGCAAGAGGTAAATAAAGGGCATCATTGTTCGGAGCGAAACGTAGGACATTATACTTATAGGAAAAAGTGTGAAAATTGATATGTCACGTGAGGATTTCCGTTTGTCACAACGCCTCTAAAATTGATCAAAATCAAAATAAAATTTATTAATTATCGGAATGGTCAAAATAGTCCAAATAGGCTGATTAAATAGTATAAACTTAATTAATAAATATTTTGTTATTTCATTTACCAATTGTAAATTCTTAAAATAAATATATAAATTTCGCTCCGGTTTCCGTTTCCTAGTAGATTTACAAAACTATGTCAAGTCATATAGTAAAATTTATTGTAGATTTTTTTTTGTAATTGATTATAGTTATATAATAAATAAACTTAATAAATTTCTTAATATATCGACATGTTTTCTTTTTGATAACTTTGAACTCTTCTTATTATTGATCTTCCAAATTCTGCAAGGCTTCGAATAACTATCTTTCATGTGACAGTTCGCTTTTCTTAATAAAAAAAACCATTCTCATCTGAAAAATAATAAATTAATCATTTTTTTGTAAGAAACTATTTTTTGGGGGGGCTTTTTCTAGGCTTTTTCAAAATTTCAAAAAGGTAACTGTCACGTCATTTTTTAAGTTATTGTGTATTCTATTAATTTTTTAGTCTTAAATACAAGTTATTGAATTTCAATGGGAAGAATTTCAAGCTGTGCTTTTCAATCAGAATAAGCACGTGAAATACAAGCTCAAAAGCTAAAGGCACAGGAAATTAACCTTATGATGTTGACGAAGTCAACCAAAATTTTTCATAAATACTTCATTAATAATTAATACTGTAATTTCTGCATGAGAAATTTTTTTCGAAAATAAAACTAATTTACATATATTTAGACATCAATTGAATTAATAACTTGTATATTGTATAGGTTATAGTGACGCCTTTCTGGAGTAATTCAAGTTAATCTTGTGCAGATCTTTACCATTTCTAGGGTTCTAGATACCGGATTTTTTTTTTTTTTTTTTTTTAAAAGTTCAATATTTTTACCACATTTCCGTCAAGATGACTTTTTGCATGTATAATTCGCATAATGTCTAAAAAAAAAAAGAACAAATTTACGAGGTGATTATCGCAAGTCGCTGTAATAGCTGCGCCATAATTACAAAGGTAATTAAAGAACTACGCTGTCATTCATAAGAAAGTAGATTTAACTTTACATATTTTTTAAATTTTAAAAAAATCATTTTATCGAAACGATTTCTAGGGAATAAACTGATATAATTTTATCATTATAAACGTTTAATAAAATAAATTTAGAAAGTAATTTCGCAATAAATTCTTTTACATTATTAGTTTTTCTATTTATCATGAAACATACATCAAAATATTTAAATTGCAATATTATAATTTCTTTTTTTGATATAATAAAAACGTTAGATACCAGAAGGATGAGTTGACTCTTTTTTATTTAATAATACTCAAATTTCCTTATATGGACTAAGAGGTTTAAAAACAACAATCGTATTGTTTAACAATGATACCTTTTTTTATAAAGATCATCATTTAAAATTTTCATAGTAAATCATTTCTTTTCTTTAGCCTCGTAATCATGTCAAAAACTGAAGCGGAACATGATGTTATTTCAGAAATTATTAATCCGACAGATGATATTAAAACGCTAATCGATAAATTATTTATACTATTAATTAAATCACAAGATGAATATAAAAGTTTTGAAGAAACGAAGCATTTTATTAATAAATGCGTTACTATTTCTACTCAATCAACCGACGCTATTTTTAACTGGCTTAAAATAAATCAAAATGTATCAAAAAATGTCTTCTTTCTTGGAATTTTTTATTATTTTAATCTGATTAGTCTAAAAGACAATAATAATGAAGGATTTATATACTTCCAAAAAGCAGCAAGTGATTATCCTATTATGCAATTATATTTAGGTAGATGCTATTCCGAAGGATTTGGAATTGAAGTTAACAATGAATTAGCAATTTATTGGTATCAAAAAGCTGCTGAAAATAATTATTCAAATGCACAATTTGAACTTGCAATATTATATGAAACAGAAAAAAATTTTGAAAAGGCCTTTTATTGGTATCAAAAAGCTGCTGAAAATAATAATGCTTATGCACAATTTAATCTTGCAGATTTATATTATAAGGGTGAAGGAACAGAAAAGAATTTAGAAAAAGCCTTTTATTGGTATCAAAAAGCTGCTGAAAATAACTATGTAAAAGCACAAGTGAATTTTGCAAATTTATATTATATTGGTGAAGGAATAGAAAAGAATTTAGAAAAAGCCTTTTATTGGTATCAAAAAGCTGCTAAAAATAATAATGCAAAAGCACAAGTGAATCTTGCAAATTTATATTATTTTGGTGAAAAAACTAAAAAGAATATAGAAAATGCTTTTTATTGGTATCAAAAAGCTGCTAAAAATAATGATGCTTATGCACAATTTAATCTTGCAAATTTATATTATAATGGTGAAGGAATAGAAAAGAATATAGAAAAAGCCCTTTATTGGTATCAAAAGGCTGCTGAAAATGGTCAAATAACTGCTCAAATTAATCTTGCATATTCATATAATTTTGGTAAAGGAATAGAAAAGAATTTTAAAAAATCCTTTTATTGGTATCAAAAAGCTGCTGAAAATAATAATGCAAATGCACAATATAATCTTGCAATATTATATGAAAGTGGTAAAGGAACAGAAATAAATACAGAAAAGGCTTTTTATTGGTATCAAAAAGCTGCTAATAATAATAATGCAAATGCACAATTTAATCTTGCAATGTTATATGAAACAGAAAAAAATACAGAAAAAGCCTTTTATTGGTATCAAAAAGCTGCTGAAAATGGACAACTACATGCACAAAATAATCTTGCAAATTTATATTATAATAGTAAAGAAACAGAAAAAAATATAGAAAAAGCCTTTTATTGGTACAAAAAGGCTGCTGAAAATGGTCAATTAAATGCACAATATAATCTTGCAAATTTATACAATTTTGGTAAAGGAACAGAGAAGAATATAGAAAAAGCTTTTTATTGGTATCAAAAATCTGCTGAAAATAATTTTATAGATGCACAATATAATCTTGCAATATTATATTATAATGGTGAAGGAATAGAAATAAATATAAAAAAGGCTTTTTATTAGTATCAAAAAGCTGCTGAAAGTAATAATACAAATGCACAATTCAATCTCGCAATATTATATGAAACAGAAAAAAATTTAGAAAAAGCCTTTTATTGGTATCAAAAAGCTGCTGAAAATAATTGTACAAATGCACAAATTAATCTTGCAAATTTATATAATTTTGGTAAAGGAACAGAAAGGAATATAGAAAAGGCTTTTTATTGGTATCAAAAAGCTGCTGAAAATAATGATATTAATGCACAATTTAATCTTGCTAATTCATATATTATTGGTAAAGTAAAAGAGAAAAATATAGAAAAAGCCTTTTATTGGTATCAAAAAGCTGCTAAAAATAATAATGCAAATGCACAATTTAATCTTGCATATTTATATATAAAGGCAAAGGAATAGAAAAGGATTTACAAAAGTCAATTTATTGGTATCAAAAAGTTATACAAAATGAAAATATAATCATGGATTTTTATTTAATTCATAAAATTTCACCAGTAAAAGGATTTATAATTGAAACAGAAAATGATATTTATAATGAATGTAATAATTGTTTTAAAAAAAGAAGATATTTAAAAAGATCTCATAAAATTTGTATAATTTGTTACCAATCTAAATTATTAGATATACCAAGTGGAAATAAGACTGTTGATAAGTTTATTAAATTTACACAAATTAATTTTATTCAAGAATCTAGTAGAATGAAATTTATTCCATATAATCAATTTAAAAATATTGAAATTATTGGTGAAGGAGGATTTAGTAAAGTTTTTAAAGCTATTTGGAATAATGGACCACCTTATTGGAATGAAAAACAAGAAGATTTTGATTATATTGATTCTAATATTATAGTAGCTTTAAAGCAGATTAATTCAAAAAATATTAATCAAAAAGAATTAAATGAGGTATATTATTAAATTATTACATTTGTTTATATTAATATAATATTTATATTAATATTATTTATTAAATTTAGCTTATGATGATTTATAATGCTGATTTAAATGATGGTTTTATAAGTTCTTTATTTTGTCTAAATAGATATTATGGAATTACTCAGAATCCTGCTACAAAGGAATTTGCAATAATTATGAAATATTATCAATATGATTTAAATCATTTTATTACTAAAAACTTTTATAATCTTAAATGGAATCAAAAATTAAAAATATTACAACAAATTATTAATGCACTTGAATTTATTCATAATCAAGGAATAATTCATCGAGATTTTCATAGCGGAAATATTTTATGTGAAAATATTTATGATAAATATGATATTGTAATTAGTGATTTTGGAATGAGTAAATTATCAACTGAAATATCAGATAATGATAATAATTATGGTATTATTCCTTATATTGCTCCAGAGATATTTCAAGGACGAAATAGTAATAAACATACAAAAGCTTCAGATATATATAGCTTCGGTATGATTATGTGGGAATTAATGACTGGTAGAAGGCCTTTTTGGGATCAAAATTACGATATCTATCTTATTATTAAAATTTGTGATGGTATTCGTCCTCCCATTATCGCAAATGCACCTGAAGGATATATTGAATTGATGCAAATATGTTGGCATTTTGATTCGAATAAAAGACCAACTACCTCTGATATTTTTAACTTTATTAATGAAATGATTTTGAATGAAGAAAATAATCCAACTAAAATTATAAAATCAATGGATATTGGACCTATAGTAACAAATAATCTAATTTTTGAAAATGCAAGTATGTTAATAACTTATAAAAGTTTAAAAGATCATATCATTCTAGGTAAATCGTAGTTATTTTATAATTTGATTTTGTTATTATTATCATTAATTAACATATATATATGTTAAAAGATGAAAGGGAATACAATGAAAATAAGATTGATGGTATGTTAAACTTTCTTTATTTAACAATCACTTAAAAAATTTTTATTAAAAGAATATGTTATTTAGTTATAAATACTAAAAATGACAAATTCGACGAGTATGAATCTAATAATAGTAAGTCAAAATACTTATAATCATTTTATAATTAAACACAAACTAATTGATTTGATATTTATAATACAGATTATATTACTAAAGAATTAGAAATTGATATTGATTGATTGAACTTTATATAATTAATACAATACAAAGAATTTTAATGTCTAGCATTTTAAATTACAAAACTTATCGTTATTATTAGTGCTCTTAAAACTAAAACTGTTAAGTGCAGTTATATGATATCATAGGCGCATAAAAAAATAACTTATAAGTAAAAATCTTGGTATAAATTTCTTTAAGAAAGCTTTTATTATATCTACTTTAATTACGTGGATTATAAAATAAAATAACATTGTCAAAATATATTGCAAAATTTAATAAATAGCAAACAAGTCTGCGCCTTCAGTTATGTGGTTGAATTAAGTAAGAAGGCAAAAAAGACATTATTATAAATAAGTAGTCAGTAGATATAATATAACGATAATAATATATAATAAATATGAATCCCAAGGAAATAGAAATCAGTTAATGTTAATATGGCTAATTTTTTTTCACATTTTGTAAGTAAACTTTACTTCAAACGTTCATTCGTGAACGTGAGTGATTCTTTTGGTTAAAATCTATTTGGTACTGGTGAACGAAATCAGCTTAATACCTTTCTAAACTACAAAGAAATTAAGAAACGTGATCGTGAATCGAAATTGAAAGGAGTTCTTCTGCCTTTTTCCTCTGTTTTAGAAGGAATTAAATTATAAAATATATTACGATTTTTTTTGGTCGTTATAAATCTTGGCTGTTGTAGTAAAAGCATATTAAATAGCTTTACACCTTATTTTTAAATAAAATTTTAGTCAAGTTTAAATTATTGGTAAAATAGTAAATAAAATAACTTACAATCTATATTATAATAAATTTTTTTAAAAAAATTAAATAAAATAAATAGTTACTATTTAATGAAAGCGCAAGTGTTCTAATACTTTTCCCAACAATAATATTCTAAATTGCGAAACTGTAACCCGCATCGTTTTGCCAAATATTTTTATTAAAGGCAAAATTGCGAAAGTTTCGACGGGTGGCAAAAGTTTCGATGGATGGCAAAACCCATCGAAACCTTCTGATATTAAAATACAATTTTTGAATTTAAAAATTTATTATTTTGTTATAACAAAGATCATTTTCTTTTATAATATCATATATTTATATATTTATAAAGATAAAAAAAAAAAATCAAAAAATTTACATATTGATCATCAAATCCAGTTACATCATTTATCTCCCATATTTTCTTCATTAAAATTCATGAAAGTATTTTTATCTTCTTCTTCATCCATTAAACTTTTTTTCTTTTTATGAAATAAGTAAGTTTGATTTCTCGTGTAAAAAAATTACTTAAACAATAGTTGATCTTGATCTATCGATAAATTTTTAAATTGAAAGATACACACGTCTTTCTGAAATTATATTTTGCTTGTAGCATTACTTTGTTTCATTATTTTAGTCAATTAAAGCCCCAAAAATACTTTCGCAACTAAAAGAACGCCTTTTATTCTAATAAGGTAATATTATAAAGAAAAAAGGATTGGAAGTAAGATGTAAATATAAAAAAAAAATAAAAATAAAAATAGAATAATTGTGCTACATATCTCATGACCATGGTAAATAGCTTGGTTCGTTGGATAAATTCGTTACAGTTAAATAATTGGAGTATCAGTATAAATTGCTGTATTTCTTTTAAAGCGTTATTAAAACAAATATTATCTAAACTTCAAACACTTTAAAATAAACTCCTAAATCCCCGAATTCTTCGATAAAAGAATAATATAAAACTAGTGGTATTGAATTAGCGTACTATATGACGCTACGCATTAATGTAAAGATGAATGTAAAACTTATCATAATTTTGATCATCATGTTCCTTGACGACCAGCTTTTTTTTGTTCGAATTCAGCGTCGCGGGTATTCACCTTTTACCAAAACAAAATATTTTTCATTAGGGAGTGACAAAAGCAGGTAAGTTAAATAAAAACCCATTAGTGTGATTCGGGTGAATTGATATCGATATATATCAAAACTAACGCCAGACGTCAATATTTCTTGGTATCTCTTAACACATAACAAACGTTTTAGATATTATTTCCTACAACCCTAATAAGGACAGTATTCTGTAAGTACAACATCTTGGTCTCGACTTCATGTTAATTCTTTTATAGTCTTTTTCACTTTTCTTGGCATTTGCTTTAAGTCAATTGTGTTCATTTAGAATATAGCGGGTTTATAATTCGTTTCTGAACTATTTAATGAGTTATTATTTAGAGTTAGAGAAAGTATATAAACTGAGAGGAATAAAACAAAGATGTCTAACTTGGGAAAAATAGGATAAACATTTTTAGTCATATACGTGAATAAGCGCGAAGTCATAGTGGTGTTAGATTGTAAGCGTACAAAACAAGTAGCAGAATAAATAGTTTATACAGCTGCTTTTTGAGAAATGATAAAACGAGAATCTGAAATGTAGTATGTGGATACAAAACTAACTATAAAGGTAAAGGTTAATTATTTGCAGTCAGTTAATTTTATGTTTCATTATACCAACCACAAGCTATTCAATACCATATCTTCTTTCTCATTTGAAATAAAGAATGAAAATGCAACTAAAAGTGTAATTATGTATCCAGAAAATATGCTAAAACTAGTAACCTTCACGTTTCAACACATTTTCTAGTTATTTCTCAGGTAATAGTAGATGACGCTTTGGGTGGTCATTCAACTAAGTAAATCAAACTATATGTGGTTAGTCGAATTTTGTGTCGATCCCTACAATCGGATTTTCTGGGTTAAACTATTATTAAAATTCATATTAATGGAGTTCTTTGTGTTTATTATTAATAGATAGATTCTCTTCATCGATAGGTTCCCGCATCTCTTCATTAAATGTTGAACATTTCAATATTATTCTAGGCGTATTTTATTTGCTTTTAAATTGGAACTGGCGTTTGTATGACTTGTAAGTACCTATTCTTTTTGTTAAAATTAAATGTACGGCTTTAATTATTCTGTTTTTAAGAAAAAATTATATAAATTTCATTGATACAACCTGTTAACAAATTTATAAAGTCACTTGACGCCATTCAAAAGAAATTATCCAATATTGGCTTTAAAATCAAAATTTAATTAATAGATAAATTTTAATTCTGTTAAATGTAGAGAGTTTACTGGTTAATGTAAATAAATGCTTCATAACTTTGTGATCATAACTCATAAAAACTAGATAAACCAAAATAATTGGAAAAGAAGTTGTTTTTCGATCTGGGCATCTAAAAAGCATGGATTATCATTTATTATTATTTATCAAATTCGATCAAAAAATTTAATTTAAGCTGAAAGATGTCTTTTAAATATTATTATATTATCAACATTATTTAAATCCATTCAATATAATAATATTTGATATACTGTAAATAGTAAAAATTTACTAAAATTATAAATGTTATTGTCGCACGGCCTATAAGATCATGCTGAGCTTTTTTGAATGTTTAATTAAAGCATAATATAAAATTAGTTTATTTTCTTTATTAATTTCATATTAAGCTTTCTAAAATTCCACTATTCAATCATACACTTAAGTGCTTGTATGTATTCGGTAATTTCTAGAGACTTTATATTGATTTGTTACGTTAATTTACTTCTCGGGCAATCTCTAATAACCCGTGAAGTTAAGATATAATTATTCGAACCTTGATAATTATAAAATATTTTTATTTTTATACTTTTTACATTTATTTTTTATTTTAAATTATATTCTTTACTTTCTCGTTTTATATCATTTTAATCCCAAATAAAACTGCATTTTTATTATGTCAAAAGGCCTTTATAAAGGTAAAATTTCATTAAAACAACTTTAAAACCATTTTTTTATTATAGAAAATTTCAATTGATATAAATTTAAATGAAAAAAATTGAAGAAATTGAAATTGAAAATGACATATATACGTCCTTGAGAAATTTTAGTAGTTCAAAAAATTTAATGCAAATTATCTAAAATGAACCAAAGTGGTTAATTAATGTTATTTAAAATTATTTAATTTAAATTTTATTTATTTAGTTAATCAAATGAATCAATAAATACGCATAAAACGAAAGTTTTTATTTCATCTCTTTCTCATAATCAAGGTTTTTATTTATTTATTTATTTAATTTTATAAAGAAATTAACATGCATATTTTAGAATTGAAACGATGAACTAAAGAACAGATTCAACAATTAGAGTCAATTGATCCCACATTGCCAAATGCAATCATTTTATTATTTGGAATTTTTGTGACAAAGTCATGCTTTTTTAAAAAATCTTTATTTTGAATAATAATTTTTTTTTTGTATCAATTCTTTGGATCAGTTGTAATTTTAATCATGGCATATTGCTGTTCTTTAATTTTCGACGACGTTACTTGCTGGATCTACTTGGCGTCGCATACAAGTTTTAAGTTAGTCGTAAATTTACGATTTCTTCTATAAATTTAAATCCTTTTTTATTTTTAATTCATGATAATAAATATCTTGCATTATAATCATTTAATATTGACAAAAAAAATAATAGTATAAGCAATTAATAGTTATTAAACGCATAATAATTATTATTTCTATAAATACCTCAAATAACTTGCTTTCCGATACGACCCAACGCATTTCCCGAATTAAAAATCGTCATATTTATCAAGTCCATCATGTATTATAGAAGATTACTAATATAAATCACTTTTTATTACCAAAAAAATTTTCCTTTTTTAAAAATCTGTATCTTCATCTAATTGTGATTACATAATATGTACAAGAATACCAAATCGTTTAATATAATACTGTATATTATAAAAGCTACAGTAAGCTGCTTTTTTAAAATAATTATGTGAACCGAATATTAAGATCAAACTCTCGTTTTATTCAAAAGAATTAATTATTAAGAAAACACTTTTCGCCCTAAATATCTCAAAGTTAAAACAATTATGAACAGCTTTTCAAAGCAATCCTCATACAAAAAATATCTTTGCGTTTCATAGAAAAGTAAAAAAAAAAAGCAAATCTTTTTTTCCAATTATTTTATAACCTTTTTTTAATAGATCTTTAAAGGCCGCTTTAAATAATTATATTATTTCTTTGTGATAATTAATTTAGGACTCAACATTGATAATGATAGGAACAGAGAGTTAAGTCGTGGTACAAACTAACAATATTCAGAGTTAAATTTTTTCGGAATTATTAATATACAAAGACATTATGACAGAATTATTTATTTATTAAAAATAATGAGTAAACATAATATTTTATTTTATTTCATTTGTAATCTAAAGATTATTTATAATTAATATTAAATTTTAAAAGTATCTCTTTATAATAATAAAAAGCTTTTATTCTAATATAGTTGAAAAATATGCAAAAATAAATATACAAGTAGGATACAATTTAGCTTAGAATCTGAAATTCTCATATTAATTATTATGCTTTTGATAATAATCAAATGTTTATTATTTTTTTAAGTTTTTTAAGCACAAGATTTCTTATAAACATATTTGCTTTAATAAAGAAAATAAATTGAGTTAGTAAATATCATTATAATTATAAATACTAGACAACTTAGTTACAAATAGTCTAAATATATCAAAACAATACTATATACCTTATTTTAAGTCTAAGCTTTATTATAAATATGATATTTTTTTTGTTAAAATAGATAAAAAAAATCTTATTCATAAAATAATATATTTTAATGATAGTTAGCAGTAACAACTAAAGTATAAAATCCTTTACAATTTCAATAACTTAATATTTTTATTTGTCATCTTGTAAATTTTGATACTAACAATATAAAAGTAGATTTTTATATTTTATTACAATATCTTTTATAATATAAACTAATTTTTTTTAATTTTATAATTTAAAATAATATAAAAAAGTATTATTTTGATAAATTTTATTAAATTTGTTAAATTTTTATGATTATTAAAAATAATCTGAAAAAGAAAAATAATAATTAGTTTATAAAATATTAATAGTAAAATAAAATAAAAAAAATAACAATATAATTATATTATAATAGTTAAAAAATAATTAAGCAATAAAATTGCATTTATATATATAATAATAATAAATAAATATTTGTAATAAATATATTATAAAATATCAGTAATAATGATTATTATTAATATAAA